CCTTCCGGGCGGAAGCTGCGCGCGTTTCCGCCCCGCGCGTCCCCGGGAGAGCAGAGCCCGCGCGGTCCTGCCGCCGGGATGTTGCCCTCGCACCCGGCCGCCCCGGGCAGGAGGGGCTTCCGCCGCGCTTCCTGCCGGCGCCACGTGCACAGGGACCGACCTGGTCCCGGACGCCGAGCCCCACCGCACCTCGGCAGGAGACGGGCACTAGTGCAAGGCCCTCTCCCCGCGGTTACACGAGCCAAACACGCACAAAGTAGAGCGTGCAAGTGTGGGCAGGGAGGTTTATTTATTTATTTAATTGGCACTCATTCAGGGCCAAGCCACAGGTGTGCGCTAAGCACCTGCAGTTCACGTCCTGTTGGGAGGATTTCGATGCAGGCGGAGGTAGCGCTAGTAGAAGAAAGAAGAGAAAATTATGGGGGAGCCCTAATGGTTTTCTTGAAATACCCAGCTGGATAATCTCAGGGTGGCACCGGGGGTTATTTGAGCTGTGAATTAGCCCCCCTCCCCCCTCTTAGGACAGGCAAGACAGGATCTGTAATCAACACGTGACCAGGACACGTGTGTCACACTCGGCAGGGCAGGGTGGCACCTTAGAGACTAGTTCAGAGGTGACTGCCTACTTTGTCAGATGTCACTGATGAAAGTTTACACCTCTCTAAACTAGTTAGTCTTAACTACTTTTTTGTACTCGTGTTGCGTAAGAGTTCAAAGGTTATTTGTTATAGGTTGGGTTAAACTTCTTCAACATGGGTGGGCATAATTTCCACCCTTCATTGAAAGTAGGCTGCAAGAGACAATAAAATACATATGACAGACCAAAACAAAGGCATATCATAGAAAACAGGGTTGGAAGGGACCTCAGGAGGTCACATCTAGTCCAAACCCCTGCTCCAAGCAGGACCAGCCCCAGCTAGATCATCTCAGCCAGGGCTTTGTTGAGCTGGGCCTTAAAAACCTCCCAGGATGGAGATTCCACCATCTCCTCAGGGAACCTGTTCCAGTGCTTCACCACCCTCTTAGCAAGAAAGTTTGTCCTATTATCCAACCTAAACTTCCCTTGCTGCATCTTGAGACCGCTGCTCCTTGTCCTGTCGTCTGTCACCACTGAGAACAGTCCAGCTCCATCCTCTTTGGACCCCCACTTCAGGGAGTTCAAGACTGCTATCAAATCCTTGCTCAGTCTTCTTTTCTCCAAACGAAATAAACCCAGTTTCCTCTGTGAAAGAATCCTCTTCCAGCCCCCTGCTTTTAGGGTTTTTTTCTTCTTTTCCCTTGTCTTGATCTCTCCTGTCTGTCAACCCAGTTGCTAGGCAGCTCTGGAGAGAAGTCCTTTAGGCCAGGGGTGCTGGTGGAAGTTTCCTTGGAAACCAGGCAGCTGTCTATTGCTGTCTAATCCTTCTTGTGCAGAAGAACATAGCATTTCATCAGTTCTTTGTAAACAAACAAGACTGCAACAGAGAAATGCCTGACTCCATCTCTGATTTCTTCTAATTTCTTCAGTTTGGGTCTGGCTCTGGAGCAAGATGCATGGGTGGAAGCCCATTGGCCCCTGCGAGCCTAAGACTCCCCGGCAGACACTCTGGCGGACCCTGGCCTTGACCCCCAGGGCAGCCGGGAGGTAGTTGGGGCCTGCGGTGGGTAGGTGCTAGATAGTAGGTGCAATTTAGAAAGGATGTGGAGAAGCTCGACAGAGTCCAGAGGAGAGCCATGTGCATGATTAGAGGACAAGAGAACAGGCCTTATGAGCAGAGGCTGAGAGCCATGGGACTCTTCAGCCTGGAGAAGCGAAGGCTCAGGTGGGGAACTTGGTGACAGCCTATAAATACATAAGGGGTGTGCATCAGGATCTGGGGGAACGCCTGTTCACCAGGGCACCCCAAAGGAAGACAAGGTCTAATGGTCACAAACTCCTGGAAGACTGTTTTAGGCTGGACATAAGGAAAAACTCCCCCAGAAGTGGTGCAAGCACCTACTCTGGACACTTTAAAAAAACACATGGATGCCTATCTTGCTGGGATTGTTTGACCCCAGCTGACTTCCTGCCCCTTGGGCTGGGGCATGGGCAACTGATACCTCCTGAGATGTTTCCCATGCTAAAGGCTACCCATTTAGGTGTCTCGGGGTGACATCCACAGCTC